AAGTTGTACCCATAGTATTTACTGATATTGGGGCGTGAAAGTGGTTAAAGTTGTACCCATAGTATTTACTGATATTGGGGCGTGAAAGTGGTTAAAGTTGTACCCATAGTATTTACTGATATTGGGGCGTGAAAGTGGTTAAAGTTGTACCCATAGTATTTACTGATATTGGGGCGTGAAAGTGGTTAAAGTTTGTAACCCATAGTATTTACTGATATTGGGAGCGTGAAAGTGGTTAAAGTTGTACCCATAGTATTTACTGATATTGGGGCGTGAAAGTGTTAAAGTTGTACCCATAGTTACTGATAGTGGGGCGTGAAAGTGGTTAAAGTTGTACCCATAGTATTTACTGATATTGGGGCGTGAAAGTGGTTAAAGTTGTACCCATAGTATTTACTGATATTGGGGCGTGAAAGTGGTTAAAGTTGTACCCATAGTATTTACTGATATTGGGGCGTGAAAGTGGTTAAAGTTGTACCCATAGTATTTACTGATATTGGGGCGTGAAAGTGGTTAAAGTTGTACCCATAGTATTTACTGATATTGGGGCGTGAAAGTGGTTAAAGTTGTACCCATAGTATTTACTGATATTGGGGCGTGAAAGTGGTTAAAGTTGTACCCATAGTATTTACTGATATTGGGCGTGAAAGTGGTTAAAGTTGTACCATAGTATTTACTGATATTGGGGCGTGACAAGTGGTTTAAAGTTGTACCCATATATTTACTGATATTGGGGCGTGAAAGTGGTTAAAGTTGTACCCATAGTATTTACTGATATTGGGGCGTGAAAGTGGTTAAAGTTGTACCCATAGTATTTACTGATATTGGGGCGTGAAAGTGGTTAAAGTTGTACCCATAGTATTTACTGATATTGGGGCGTGAAAGTGGTTAAAGGTGTACCCATAGTATTTGATATTGGGGCGTGAAAGTGGTTAAAGTTGTACCCATAGTATTTACTGATATTGGGGCGTGAAAGTGGTTAAAGTTGTACCAATAGTAAATTTACTGATATTGGGGCGTGAAAGTGGTTAAAGTGTACCCATAGTATTTTACTGATATTGGGGCGTGAAAGTGGTTAAAGTTGTACCCATAGTATTTACTGATATTGGGGCGTGAAAGTGGTTAAAGTTTGTACCCATAGTATTTAATGATATTGGGGCGTGAAAGTGGTTAAAGTTGTACCCATAGTATTTACTGATATTGGGGCGTGAAAGTGGTTAAAGTTGTACCCATAGTATTTACTGATATTGGGGCGTGAAAGTGGTTAAAGTGGTACCCATAGTATTTACTGATATTGGGGCGATGAAAGTGGTTAAACCCATAGTATTTACTGATATTGGGGCGTGAAAGTGGTAAAGTGTACCCATAGTATTTACTGATATTGGGGCGTGAAAGTGGTTAAAGTTGTACCCATAGTATTTACTGATATTGGGGGCGTGAAAGTGGTTAAAGTTGTACCCATAGTATTTACTGATATTGGGGCGTGAAAGTGGTTAAAGTTGTACCCATAGTATTTACTGATATTGGGGCGTGAAAGTGGTTAAAGTTGTACCCATAGTATTTACTGATATTGGGGCGTGAAAGTGGTTAAAGTTGTACCCATAGTATTTACTGATATTGGGGCGTGAAAGTGGTTAAAGTTGTACCATAGTATTTACTGATATTGGGGCGTGAAATTGGTTAAAAGTGTACCCATAGTTTACTGATATTGGGGCGTGAAAGTGGTTAAAGTTGTACCCATAGTATTTACTGATATGCAATTTAAAGTTGTACCCCTAGTATTTACTGATATTGGGGCGTGAAAGTGGTTAAAGTTGTACCCACTAGTATTTACTGAAATTTGGGGCCGTGAAAGTGGTTAAAGTTTTACCCATAGTATTTAATGATATTGGGGCGTGAAAGTGGTTAAAGTTGTACCCTAGTATTTACTGATAATTGGGGCGTGAAAGTGGTTTTAAAGTTGTACCCATAGTATTTGGCCGATTGAAAGTGGTTAAAGTTGTACCCATAGTATTTACTGAGATTGGGGGCGTTGAAAGTGGTTAAAGTTGTACCCATAGTATTTACTGATATTGGGGCGTGAAAGTGGTTAAAGTTGTACCCATAGTATTTACTGATATTGGGGCGTGAAAGTGGTTAAAGTTGTACCCATAGTATTTACTGATATTGGGGCGTGAAGTTTTAGTTCTTCGTAAATCCCTGTGTGGGTTCTGGGGCTCTCAATTGTGGCCCAAACAAGAATAGACCCACTTCCTCTCCAACAAGCATGTCAAAAGAGATGACTAATTGAGGGTTTCCTTTGAAGTCAGAGTGCATTTGCCTGAGAGTCTGCATACAAAGAAGTCAGATCTGTTAAACGAATATGCCTACAATATTCAGAAAGTGGAACAAGTCTAAACAACCAGATCTTTTTGCCAGAGTTTACAGCCAGTGAACATGACAAAGAAGAAGAAAGAAGAAGCTTGTCCAGGGTTCATGCCCGGAGATAGGCAGAAAAGCCACATTTCTCCCAGATCTATGATATATATCATAGAATCAAGGCCGATAGGTTACAATATCCATAGTACTGAGTCAAAGGGTTAACAACTCATAGTTTCTGGATATTTAAAGCCCCTGCATACCATAAGGGGTGGTCAGTTCCCTTGCTTGTTGCATTTATTTCCCTTCCAGAAATTCTTGTAAAATTCTGAAAACTGTCTAGTGCACATATTAATAGAGTTTGGTCAACCCCCAGAACCACACTTCTCCTTCAGACTTCTGAGCCATTGATTTCTCAGAACCACACTTCTCCTTCAGCCTTCTGAGCCATTGATTTCCCAGAACCACACTTCTCCTTCAGACTTCTGAGCCATTGATTTCCCAGAACCACACTTCTCCTTCAGCCTTCTGAGCCATTGATTTCCCAGAACCACACTTCTCCTTCAGACTTCTGAGCCATTGATTTCTCAGAACAACAATTCTCCCACATTCTCCAGAACCACACTCTCCTTCCTTCTGAGCCATTGATTTTCCAGAACCACACTCTCCTTCAGACTTTCGGAGCCAGACCACACTTCTCCTTCAGACTTCTGAGCCATTGATTTCCCAGAACCACACATTGATTTCTTCCTTCAGACTTCTGAGCCATTGATTGACGGTTTCCTTCAGACTTCTGACATTGATTTCCCAGAACCACACTTCTCCTTCAGCCTTCTGAGCCATTGATTTCCCAGAACCACACTTCTCCTTCAGACTTCTGAGCCATTGATTTCTCAGAACCACACTTCTCCTTCAGACTTTTGAGCCATTGATACCCGAGTCCTCCATTCATGTCTGTGATTGGCCTCGTCTTTCCATTTAGTGACTCCAGGTGTTTCTAGGTCTGCCCATATTTTTTCTCTCCACCATGTACTTGGTCTGCCTCATGGACTACTGCTATTCACATCTTTCATGTATGCAGTTTTTATCTGTTATTTGCACCATGTCTTTATGCCCTAACTATAACTGTCTTTTAGCCCTCATTATGCAAAGATCACTGGTGATTTAAACAGGATAATAAACTTTTATTGTTACTTCTCAGTCTCAAATCCTCACTGTTTGCATCTTTGGTGGGTTCAGAATGTTGAATTAAGAAACTACATCACAGCACTCGGGACACTCCCATAAGTGCTTAGTCCCCATCTTCAGCAGCAAAGAGTTCCAATTCCAATGGCACCAATAACCGTCTGATTGTATATCCATTTCATCCTTCCTCTGAGTGTTGAGCGTCGGCCAGATCCCCTGCTAACAGCGCCACTTTCCTCAAACCATAATGATCCATCTGCGCACTAAAGGGCCCTCACAATATCTAACTTGTCATACATCATGATGGGTTCAGAGCCACTGTGGTAGAGAAAAATATCCTGAAAAATATCCAGGGATTGAACCGGAGCATCTGTCTCGATAGGCATATTACGCCATTCACTTTACCACAGTAGCTTTTAGAGGATTTTGAAACCAAGCCAGGACAAATGAGGAATGTAATTGACGTGAACAGGGAAACCCCTGTCTGTTTTTAACAGCCATGTGAATAGATAATGTTATCTCAGAACATGAGCTGAAGAAATGGTTACGTGACCTGGTATAAAATTTGTAAGTGGGACGGGGCCAGTTCATGCATGCTGTTAGCGTGATTGTCAAGGTGTGTCTGTGCTGTTATCAGTAGTAATTTGTTTAAAAGCCCTTTCATTTTCTGTGAGTATGGCATTGTAGAAAACTTTGCTTAGGATTGAGCAAGCTGCAAGAAAATATTATCCAGAGATTTAGCAAGCTGCATGGACAAATTCTAAGTATGACATACATAGTTAATACTTAGACGTATCATTGGATTTTTTACTCTATTTATTATTTCTGTTATTTTTTTCACTGTTTTTGCCACTTTATTTATTTTATTTCTCTACACCTTTTTCTCTTCTTATAGTCAAAATGCTTGAAAAGCATATTTATTTCCTGGACGAGTTGTGAATTAACAAATAGACATAGAACATCTGTGAGTTTGGTATCATTATTGGTTGTCTCTGACATTGTTGTGCTAATTATGCTAGTTTCATTAGGTAGTTGCTGGTGTTCTCAATAGACTCAACTGCTAGACCCAGAAATAAATGGCCTCACTTGTTCATAAATCATAGACACTTGGTAGTTAATGAAATGGTAAATACAGCAGTGTGATATCACTATTCTGTTTCACAACAGACTTTTTTTAGGAACGTCTAGGAGTGGAAGAGTTAAATTATGTGCTGTTTAGCTGAGACATGGTTTTATAACATTTTCAACAATTGACTTATATTTTTTTCGTTGCAGATTGCTACATTTGCAGACTTTAATAGGTAACTGTTGAATAACACGATTTGTTCAAACAACAGTGTTTTGTACCCACTCCACTAAGAAATTTGGAAAGCAAACAGTTTATCATAAAACTGAATTATTTCAACAGTTCTGTCATAAAGGAAGAATCTTTTTGGCTCCGTTTTCCATTTCCAACAATGTCTGATACAGACATAATACTTCAAAGTGAACAAGTTCACCACAGGATGAATTCTGTCCCTGATTTCTCATCTTCATGGGAAACGGATCTGACAGAACCTCCTGCCGGTCTTGCTAGTGATGATGAAGATTCTCAATCAGTCCAGCGCTACAGTCGAACCAGTTCTCTGTGTGACGACAGTGGTTTTAATAGCTCAACCAGTGAAGACAGAGATGATGCAATGGACACACCGTTAAGACACAGATGTGATTTTGACAGCCTTAAATCTCTCATCAGAAATGTTGATATTCAGGTATGTGATACTCCGGATTCATTACTCAGTAGTCAAACACACAGTTCTGAAGAATCAAACAGTTCAGCTATATTGTCTTACAACTTTAAAAACTCTCCCGTTGAAATGAAAATATCAAACAATACAATCTCAGAGGTGAATTCACACTCACTTATATCAAACCTAGACTCTGGAAGTAATATTTCAGACAATTCTTCAGTCAACAGTGATATTTCAAATAGGAATACAGGTAGAATTAGCAGAAGACACAGAACTGATAACCAAAACTCACAAGCTGTCCCTGGAGCACCTTTAACTCCCAGAGCACCTTCGACTCCTAGGGCATCCAGAAGCAGAAGACACAGGACACGAGATTTGAACAATAATGATTCTGGGCGCAAAAATCTCAACTCGTACTTAAGCACCCCTCCATTCAAACTTCAGGACTGCTTTCAGAATCAGGGACTTTTATCACTTGTTGCATGTATTACATACACAGTATTCCTCATGATCATATTCTGCCTGCTTGGAGTCGTATGCGATTATGTTAAATCTGGTAAGTATCTTTATTGCATTCAGACAATAGGGTTCTTTCGCAATATCCTACCCCAGATATCACAGGACAGTCCAACATTTCAGAGGGTGGTAAGACTGGGTTTCCCGGCTTTCTGATGCTTTTAACGACCCCAAAACATCTAGAGCTGGTGCTAACCCCAACCCACCTACATCCCACGAGAGAGTGCAGCCTAGGTCCCAAGACTGCATGCAGCCTATCTACCACCCTCTGAAACATTTAGACTTTCCCTTGCCCTGTGGATTTTCCCTGTTTGGGGTAGGATATTAAGAAAGCCCCAATACATGTAATGGTGGTTTCACATCATCTTCTTTTGTCTTCTAACCCCCAGTGGGACATAGGCCCACAGCCAAGTCATTATACCCTTCTCTATTGCATGTGGCTCCGCCCTTGTCCTCACCATTTTGTTTTTTGTTTGTTTTTACTTCACTCTAGCTCCCTTCTCCATGTGGAATTCCTTAATTTCTGTGTCCCTGTGGGTTCCAGTGCAAAGACATTCAAATTATATTGTTCTCACCATGTTCCACACCCTGTTTGGGGTGAGAGGGGGAGAATGAGAAAAGAGGGAACAAGTGATCGCAGGCAGTCCCAAGTGGTAGATTTTCTTAGTATGATGCAAGTCTTTGAAATGCAGCCATTAATAACTTTGCACTGTCAGATCAAAAGTCCAAATTGTATTTTGATTTAGCTGCTTATGTCCCCCTCCCCCCCCCTCCTTAGTTTTTTAACGATGCAGCCTCCACATATCTGTATCCTTAACATTTGCCGTAAAATATGAGGGTAGGGTGATGAGTTCCCTTCCTCACTACTTTTCCATTCTCCGACTATTTGCAGAGCATTCCCGAAGTTACCAGACACCTTTTATGATGCTGGGTTAAGCCCAGAGCTGGACTGGTCAAAATTAAAACACACACAAAAAAGTCATGCCACTTCTGGGGATTAAAGCCACACCTCCTGTATGGGTGACCATTGTGAGGGGAACCAAGAATAGATCCACTGCCTCCTCAACAGGCATGTCTTAGGAGTCAACTAATTGGGGGCTGCCTTCAAAGTCAGAGTGCATCTGTCTGGAAGGCAAGCTACCAACAGTCTGCATACAAATTAACAAGATCTGTGAAACGGATATGCATGCAACACTCAGGGCCAGGAACAAGACGAAGTTCAGTGGATGAACAACCAGAACTTTACAGCCCGTGAAGGCAAAGAAGAAAAAAACAACCCAGACCACTGTCTTGACATGCTCAGTCACTGCAGATCTGTTCAGACAGTTTTTAACTGTCTGTACTTAGCACTTTTCAGGTAACTGTCTGTACTTAGCACTTTTCAGGCATCTGGAGGAGGGGGAGAGGGGCTGAATGAATGTCTGCCTGGTTAGTGTAGTCACCTCAAACTGTAGGTTAGGATATTTATTTTTAGACAGTACGCCGTGGTGTAGCTGCTGGGCGCTCACCTCTGGATTCAGGTCCCAACAGAGCCTGCCTTCTTTCAAAATGACCTAACCTCCCAGGCGGACCCAGCCTTATAATAGGTACCAGGTAAAGTCCTGTGAAGTAATGATGGCCTTAATGATGTTGACCATATTACCCTCAGAGTACCTATTGGTTTACACAAATATAGGTCTAACCCTGTATACTTAATAGGCCTGATAGTGTGGATAAGGAGCCTTACACCAAGAAAATATCTTGAACATGTACAAACTCCTCTGAAGTGCCTCTTCTTGAACTGGTGGAGAGGGTAAATGTGTTCAATTTAAAGATCCCCAAATCAGTTTTGCTGGCAATAGTGTAGCTAACCTGCTGATTGGGTCTCCCATGTCTGGCAGATTGACGAATAGAGACCAGAGTGAGGCACATTTGCTGCCTTAAAAATTAAGCAAATATGGTTGTTGTCATTATTCAGATTATAACTGAAATATATTACAGACATTTTGCAAGCTGGTGGCTCATCAGACACATATTGCTAGATCAGTATTCAGATCAGTCGGCACTCTTGTGATGTGGTCAGACACCACACAAGCCATTTTTACTTCCCAGGACATTACCTGTTACCCATTTGAGCTGAGTTGACCTGGAAATCAGTGTCATTTGTGAAGAGAAAAAATCTGTGATCGTACAGATTTGAACCTTAGATCTGGCTTTGCATTATATGATGAGTTAATTAGTTCTTTGTCCCAGCCTTTGCTAATCTACAAAATACATTTATTAGGATTTCTGTGTGGATTTAGGATGGGGGGAACAAGAATGTTATAAAAGCAAACTAATTAAGGTGGCAGATGAGTTATGAGTTGGATTATCTTCACGGCACTCCGGACACATCCATAGGTGCTCAGGTTCTGCTCTCAGTATATTCATCAGTCTAGCGCGGTTAATAGTTCCAGTCCTTTGATGGTTGACAAGACTTTTTGTGTCAGGTGTGTTTCTCATTCTTGGCTATGCCGATCTTTACTCCCAATTCTCATATTTTTTAGCAGTGATGTGGACACATTACTTCCAAAATCCTCTGAATGTCTTAGGGCATTGACAGTGTCTGTGTGATCTATGGGCCGACCATCCTCATTTAATGCAGCATCTGCCAGTCTAACGGCTCTTTCATTACCAACAACACCTGCATGACCTGGAAAAAATATAAAGGTAACTGCACACATAGGAGAGTTTCATAGGCAGATGTTGCAGCATAGGTGTAATCCAAAACATAACATGCTAACTGTTCCTGTAACAAACAAATACAGAAGAATTGGTTGGGGTAGATTGCCTCAAGGAGGCTAAAATTGATAGACAATAGGTCTTGTTCAACACAGGACAGTATGCAGAGAGTAGATCGGCTGGTATGTTTTACTGTGGTTCACAGCGAGGTTGTGATATCTGTGCTGTTTGGTTAAGTACAATCCACCCCCCTCCCCTCCCCCCCCCCCCGCCACATGGGGATATGGCCATTTTACTTCGCATGTATCTGTTAACCTGCGGTCAGTTTTAAAATCTCAAGAGATTTTTGTTTGAGTAATTTAACATGGCTGAATTGCTCACATTTCAGTTCATTGCTAAATTGCCCTTGTATACCATAAATGAATTGCTTTCTTACATTTTCTTCTCTTTGTGTTGGCAGTTGTTGGAAAGCAGAATTTGAGGGAACTCCGAGCAGACATCGTCCAGTCCAGACACACACGGACAAACATGGCGTCGGGCTGAAGACTTAGCTGATGTTCATATAGTTCATCATCGCCATCATCCCTTAACACTGCGTGTCGTTGGATCACCAGTTGCTGTTGATGGTCTGTTCAGATTCCTCTGCCGTTGATGGTCGGATGCGATGGACTTCATGGTTGCATGCCTGATGCGTGTCCAGTCAGTCATGTTCTGAATCCAGGTCTTTCTTGGTCTCTTCTCCTCTACTGGGAAAAATAAAAGCTGCCAAATGATTCATTGAAGCTGCAGCAGAGACACCTGAATACTACAGAAGTGGAAGAAGTGTCAGCTCAGTTGTAGTTGAATGGACTGGTATACCTCATGTACTAGACAATTTCCTGACTTCTAGGGCAAATACTTAACTTGATATGAGAGTGTGAGTGTTTTGTTCATTTTTGCTGATTCATGATGGGATGAAAGAATAAATCAAGAAATAACATATCTGCACTTGGGACATTCTCAAATGTGCTCCATCTCCTCCGTCAGTAGCGAACAAAGACTTGACATGCTAATAGTACTAGTTGTAACCTGACTAAAACTGTGCACATATTTCTCCTTCAGTGCTGAATATCTTCCAGGCTCTCTACTCACCCCCTGTTCAATTAGTTTTTCAGTGCATGGATTCTCTCTGTGTTCTATTGCACTGCCCATTTCTTCCTCCTCTTTGCATTCACCAGCTGTAAACTCTGGCGGAAAGGTCTGGTTGTTGGACTGTAGTCCTATTCCAGAACCTATGTGTTTTGCGTGTGCATCCATTTCACAGATCTGACTCAGTTGTATGCAGACTGTTGGTTCCTTGCTTCTCAGGCAGATGCACTCCGACTTCAAAGGAAGCTCCCAATTAGTTGACTCTTACAACATGCTTTTGGGTAGGCAGTGGGTCTATTCTTGTTTTCCCTATAACAGGGCCCCGGGACCCACACAGGGAACAAACCATTTGATCCCAGCCTTCGCCATGTCCGCTTTATCAAAAAGTAGCTCACAGCACAGAGTGGCCGTCAGCAGCCAAGCTGTCAGCCTCCCCATGACCCCACTCACCTGAATATCCTGGACAGAAAATCCATAATGGGACGATGGCTAGTTTAGTTCACTACCACAGCAGTTCAGGTCCAGTCTCTGAGGATTGGTTTTGTTCTAACAACATACGGCTGCTTTTCAGTCTAATGTCATGGATAGGTGGAAGAGATTGGAGTGATTACTTGGATTCATCTTCTTGTGTCCATTTAAAATTGTTTTTCTTTCATTGGGTGGTGGTTATGCTGTGTTTCATTACAGCAGACTTGATATTTTTGCTCCTTTCAGATGACAAATTTGCCTGCAGGTTTTGTTTTACCTGGTTAGTCTTCCCAAGTAATTTTTAGGGCATTCTGTGACCTCATTGTGGTAACACCATCTACATCCATATAAGTTTTTCATCTTCGCATTCACCGGCTGTAAACTCCGGCAGAAAGTTCTGGTTGTTTGTCCACCTATAGACTTTAATCTTGTTCCAGAACCTGGGTGTTGCTTGTACATCCATTTTACCACCCTGACTTATTTGTATGCAGACTGTTCATTCCTTGCCTCTCAGGGAAAACCACACCACGACTTTGAAGGAAGCCTCCACTTAGTTGACTTTTACAAAATGCTTATTAGGGAGCAGGTGGTTCTATTCTTGTTCCGCCCACAATGGTGCTGCAGAACCCACACGGGAACATTTCAGTCCAACCACAGTAGGTTCACTCCACCAGGCCCATCCAACCTCTGTTTGGCTTTCAGAGAAAGGCAGGAGCAACCCACAGGCATTTGCTGCTGTCTGGATAGACTTCTATAACAGTGAGCAAATATATATGATAGTGCACAAGCAGGTGGTCAGATCTGAGACATATCAATATACAGAATATAAGGATGTATTTGTGGAAATTAAAGCAAATAAAGAGGTTCTCAAGATTTTGGCTAAGAAAAAATGTAGTGTTGAGAGAAAAGTTGCAAGTGAACTACTCTGGCAACATTAAAAGATTTAAAAGTCAAGGATCCTTTTTCACATCATCAGGCACTTAGGGCTAGACCTGTGTTATATAGACCTATTGGCACTTGGTGGATGAAGTGGTCAGCCTTTGTTCTTGGGGGCCACGGTCATTTCTGAAAGGAGGAGAAAAAAAGTCCAGCACCCTCTGAATTTGAACCTATGACCTTTGAATTCATTCCGTTTTAAAAAGGGATGGGGGTGGGGGGGGGGGGGGGGTAATAATATAAATTATCAGAATCTGCTGCTCGGTTATTCTGTCTTTATTGATAGCACTTGATACAGAAAGTTGGGATAAGACATTCCGAGCCCTTGAGGTTCATTGCTGCAGATATCACCCGCCTCCATCTCTTTTAGTTGGCCTTCTCTTTCCAGCTGGTGACACTAAGTGTTTGCAGGTCTGTCTGGACATTATCTCCATCGTCTTCTTGGTCTGCCTTGTGGTCTATGACCATTCTTCTCCCTCGTGTATACAGTTTTTACTTCTGTCATTTTTTAAAATTGGTATAGAAAAATACGTGTCCGGTTGTATGTTAATAGTTTCATTTAACAATTGTGCTGTTGGTGATTGCACAGAAGATTTTTGCTCATACTGCATTGACATTACTGTAAATAATTATTTTTCTCACAATATGTGGGTGTTTTATGTTGACAGTATGCATTATTACTGTTGTTTTGTTTTTCATTTAACAGAAGTGCCCTAACATGTTATTTGTTACCATCTGTAAATAAAGAGATACAAATGAAGTTATAAAGTGTTTTCATTTATTTTTCAACTGTATATGGCAAGGTCTTCGTCTCTTCTTCCTTCAGTTCACTATCAAAAGTGGAGGAGATGTAAGGATTTTGTGTGTGCTCTCTATAATGCATTGTACAAGTTGGTCTTATTTTCTTTTAACTCTTTTAGTCTCAAGCAAGAGTTTCCCTAACTCCTGTTTTCCTAAGCATTAGTTGCTTGAACTTCGTGTTCACCAGCTGTAAAGTCCGGCGGAAAGTTCTCATTGTTCGTCCCTTTCTGGACTGCAGTCCTGTTCCAGAACCTGAGTGTTGCGTGTGCATCCGTTTGACAGATCTGACTAATTTGTATGCATACTGTTGGTTCCTTGGCTTTCAGGCAGATGCACTCCAACTTCAAAGGAAGCTCCCAATTAGTCGACTCTTACAACATGCCATTGGGTAGACAGTTGGATCTATTCTTTTTTACCCTGTAATAGGGCCCCGTCGGCTAAGTCGATGCGAAGGCTTCGCTTCGTAATGCCGGGTTCGATCCCAGCTGCGGGCAATGGGCCTTGCGTTGGTTTCGACAGTGGTGTCAAGAAAGCTGACTGTCCAGAAAGCAATGGCAAACAACTGGAGGTAAATTTGCCAAGAGAAACCACACAACAGCCAGGGGCTGTTAGGGTTGTTTCTGCAATGTCCTGTAAAGGATACGCAACTAACTTTTTCAATAGGGCCCCGGAACCCACACGGAGAGTTGCTTGAACTAATATTTATTTAAAGTGTGAAGGTGTCCAAATATTAATTCTGTAGGACAAAAGTAGCTGAAGTAACAGTTGGGACAGAATGGGGTACACACAGCTGGGTATGATACACACAGCTAAGAAAAACATAGCATGCTACGTAACAGCAATGAAGGCACAGTGCGTTGCTTGGTACTGAAAGATTTAAGGCTGTTGTTAAACCTAAAGTGAACTTTGATGAAAGGAACCAAAGCTGCTGAATTGGATCCAGCCATGATATTGAACTAAATGCACATAACGGAATGGAAAAATAGACTGCAAGCCCTAAGTAACATAATGGGACAGGAAATGAATGTTCTTAATGCCATCTTTCCATATTTTGTATGATCTTCCTCCTTGCCCTGTGTTTATTATATTTATTCAGTGTGGCAGTTGGTACCAGGGCATTCTCATCAGATGGACAAACCACCTCATCTGTTGCTCTTTAAGGTTATGACAAGGTAAAGGGGCTGAGATCCACATCTTTGAAACATGTGCTATCCCTTTACTTCGCTGGCCAATCTACTTTCAGTGGATCATGTGAAAATCACACAGGCAAACTCTACCTCCTAAAACTTTTCCTGTTGCTCATTTTGGTCTGGGGAGGATTTTTCAGAAATGTCCATGGGTTAATGACCTTTTTTTTTAAGCATTCAGGGGGCAAAAAGGTTAAAGAAAAGAACAAGCAATTTGTAGAAGCTTCTATTATTAGCATTCTGTCTACAAACAAAACATGGTGAACTAGCTACAAGTGTAATAAGTAATTTTGGGCTGGGGAGGATTTTTCAGAAATTTCCATGGGTTTATGACCTTTTTTTTTTTTAAGCATTCAGGGGGCAAAAAGGTTAAAGAAAGGAACATGCAAATTGTAGAAGTTTCTATTATTAGCATTCTGTGTACAAACAAAACATGGTGAACTAGCTACAAGTGTAATAAGTAATGCTAGAGAACTGTAACTGAAATGAATGAACACTTTAAAAGAAGCAGTCTAGCAAACAAAGGGATTAAAACACTTGGTAGTCATGCTTTATTTTGTGACTGTCAGTAAACACACGTAGAGATTCACTACATAAGCGGCAGAGCAACAATAGAGTACAAAATGAGACAAGATTTTCAAATTATCATACATATTTGTCGCTGTAAACAAATTCAATAATCTAATTAGTCTGTATCAGTAACTACTTCTGATCTGGCAGAATGCTTTGCTTCCTAAAGTATATGTGTTATCTTTTCTTTGGAGTAAACAAGGCAGGATGAAAGAGGCATAATGGAACACATGGTCTCTACAATTCTGCTCAGACTGTGTGCATTTTACATCACTTAAAGCAGTGGTTCTCAATATTTCTAATGCAGCGACCCATTAATACAGTTCCTCATGTTGTGGTGACCTTTTAAAACAGTTCCTCATGTTGTGGTGACCTTTTAAAACAGTTCCTCATGTTGTGGCGACCTTTTAAAACAGTTCCTCATGATGTAGCGACCCTTTAATACAATTCTTCATGTTGTGGCGACCTTTTAATACAGTTCCTCATGTTGTGGCGACCATTTAAAACAGTTTCTCATGTTGTGGCGACCCTTTAATACAATTCTTCATGTTGTGGTGACCTTTTAATACAGTTCCTCATGTTGTGGCGACCATTTAAAACAGTTTCTCATGTTGTGGCGACCCTTTAAAACAGTTCCTCATGTTGTGGGAACCCCTAAACATAAAATTATTTCTGTTACTACTTCATAACTTCAATGAATATGTGTTTTTCAATGGTCTTAGGTGACCCTTGTCAAAGGGTCGTTTGACCCAAAGTAGGGGTCATGACCTGCAGATTGAGCACTGCTGACTTACAGAAGAGGCTGTCAATTTATAGAAAGAAAAGAAAAATAAAAAACGTTCACTTAACAATATAAAATAACAAAAATATACCCCTACACATCCACAAGTTCAAGGCAGAGAGCACAATATTGGAGTTCAAAACTGTCTGAAAGACATGAATAAATAAAACAAAAACATTTATTTCAATGAGGACACACATATTTAACCCTTTCATCCTAAGAGTCTGAAAAACCCACACTTCTGGCTGGGTACAATTCCCCATAAATGTCACTTTTCTGACTCGTCTATAGTGACCTGATAATGAGACAATACCACGGGGTGGGGGTGGGGGGGGGGGGGGGGGGGGGGGGGGGGGGGGGTGGGGGGGGGGGGGGGGGGGGGGGGGGTCGTCTTTGAGTTAAATAGGTTACTCATAAGCCTCAGTGTTAGGGGTCATGGTACGAGTCACCGATACGTGTGTTTTTAGGCCCTGAAAGATGGATTATATTTAATGGTTCACCCTGTTCAGGTTTACTGATTATTCACTACGTGAATTTTTTTTTCTGAAGAAAAAAAGCGATATAAATAGACAGACAGCTAGCTAGCTAGCTAGCTAGATAGATAGTTAGATAGACAGACAGATAGATAGACAGACAGACAGATAGATAGATAGTTATATTTGTGACAAATTCATTAGTGATCTGTGTAAAATTGGATTCCAAACTGGGTCATGTGCTTTGCTTTTTTTTTTTTTATATAGTGTTCCGGGGGCGAAAGGGTTGAGAGTCTGGAATTTCCCGTGTGGGGACAATGCAACTGATGTGCTGCCTCTCTAACAAGCATGTCTCAAGAGGTGACAAATTAGGGGTTTTCCCTTTAAAGTCGCAGGACACCTGCCTGATGGGCAAGGAATTAACAAACTGCACACAAATAAGCCAGAAAAATAATGATATAAAATAGAAGTGAAACAAATTAATTGATTCTGAAATGACTACAATGCAGTTTTCAAATATTAAGTAAACAAATGAAAAAAAAATTGTAATAAACAAAAGAATTCTATAATGTATGAGGCATTTCTGTTGGTAAGTAAAATCAAGATGAAACTTAAAAGATACATATCTTATAATCATAGAAACCAGTATAATGTAGGTTATCTCATGGATTAAAAAAAAGTTTGGTAAATGTTTGTAGTTTATTAGTAATTGCCTTCGTTGTCCACCATGTTTCTGCTCTATACATCAGTATTGATCTGACATTAATAGATATTATATGTCTCAATTACAAGTTTAAAAGGGTTAAATAGGTGTGTGTAATCCTTACAACACAATAACAACTACAACTGTGTATAATAATTGTGACTGTCATGGGCCCAGAATTTGTTTATGAATGATTGTCTTCAAATGAAATTTCCCAGAAAGGAAACACAACCTTCTCGGCAGTCTGGTAGTTAGACAAATAGCCTCTGGTATTTAGATTAAAAAAACCTCAGAGACTGCTCTACTGCATAACAGATCTGGTCTTTTCAATTATATTTGTAACAAACATCTATGTTTATATATATATATACACACACACACACACACACACACACACACACACATACTGTTTCTTTAGTGATCACAAACAGATTATAGTTATACTACAAAGTTCTATAAAAAAAATACAAAATATGTCTTGCATCTAACAAATTATTAAAGTGAGTGAAAAACATCTGTTTAAAATAAAAAGGCTAGGTATGTGATATATAACTTTTTTTTTCTAATACGTTGATGCACGTATAAAGAAAGCCAAAACTACTGCAGTAATCATTTTTTTACTTTGGCTGCTGGTATGTGAACTCTGGCCATGGATACACGGGCGGCACAAATGATTCATAGTCTGTGCTGAACACAAATTCTTCTAAATAAGAACGAATGTTTTCAGGCCGCGGGTGACGATAGGCCAGGCCGTGAGCATAGGCATAATGTATAATATCCTCGGCAAGATTCAGTGAAACTTGTCTGATTGTGTTCAAGGGCGGGTAGACTCTCCCTTCACTCAAATTCTCCGCTGTGACCATTTTTGCTAAGGACTGAAGTGAGAAAAAAATAGCTTTATTACATAAGCGAATCAAGGACAAGTTAAAACGTTATTAAATAACATCAATGAAACAATGGATATAACTGCCTTCTTACTTACATAAATTAACGGAAAAGGGAAAGAAAAGGGGGAAATTATTGCTTCATTATACAACAATGACAAAGGGAAATGATTCTTTAATTACAAAATTTACATTTAAATTGATTTGGGGGAGGGTGGGGGGAGATAATGGCTTTAATCAGATACTAAATCAGGCAGAATAGCTAAACTGCATTCTTTATATTCTTAATTTACCAGTCCCATACTATATATTCTAAAATTCAGCCGTCCCATTGTATATATTCAAAAATTCAACCGTTCAATTCTATATATTCTAAAATTCAACCGTCCCATTCTATACATGACAAAATTCAACCATTCCATCCTAAACATTCTATAATGCAACCATCCTGTTCTATATATTCCTGATGTCCTAGATGTTAGGACTCAGTAATCATCATCACCACCATCGACGACATGCCACCACCATCATCATCATCATCATACTGGTTTGTTTTTTGCCTTAAGGTGGACAGGGAACAAGTGTTTCCTTGCCACAACCTCATCCTCATCGCCGATGTGCCATCGCCACAGTCACCTTTAATTTTCTCTATTATACTTTGTAATGCATTAATGTATATAATTATGCATGGGGAGTTTCCCCAAAGTAATATCATCCTCATCGCCGATATGCCACCACCATGATCACCATGCCTTTTCACACGTTATGAATGCATTTGTGTATTTATGTAGTGTGAATATAATCATCACCATACTCATCGCCAATATTCCATCACCATGATCACCAATTTTCTACCCTTTACATGCTATAAAATGTATGTATGTAGGATATAAATATATGTATATATAAGTAATATGTGTATAATGTATGCATGATATAATGAAATGAACAAAAACAATGCGTATATGTATTTTCAAGGGAAACAACACCTCTTGGCGTTGTCTCGCCAACAAACATACGAGTGGTGCCCCTCTCTTTCTAAGTCCAGTCCCAATTTGTCCTTTTCTGCCTCGCTGTCCTATTTCCTGTCAATTTGTTTTGTTGGTAATCCCATTATGCATTGTTTTTTACCTCTCATGTTTTTCATTTAACACCTCATCACATAGCTGCTTTTGTTAGCCCATCAACACATGTCACCAACATCAATGAGCGGCCGCCCCACCCCCTATCGCCCCCATATCCTTTTCTGTCTTCTCCTCTCCCTACAAACAAAGATACTTGGTGACATGGAGTCTAATTAAAAACATCATTGCCACGTTAAATAAATGCATGTACATTATCAATGAAACGTACCGTGCCCACTGACAAACGAATAGCCCCTTCTTCTTCTTCTTCACTTCCTCTTTTACCGCTGTGGGTGTCGAGGGAGATATAAGGTTCTGTTTCTAGCTCTTCTGGCTGCCTCGACCATAGGCACATCGTGCTGTTGTAGAGTTTCTCTGATGTTATCCTTCCATCTTACTTGGTCTACCCCGTGCTCTACGTCCTTCTTCTCTTTCCATGTATGCTTTGTATGGTATGGTGTCACAAGGCATTCTCTCTAAGTGGGCAAACCATTTCACTTGCTGTCTTTGTATGTAATCCAGAATTGGTTCTGTGCCGACTTGTTCTCTTATGATCTCATTCCTGATCTTATCTCTTATGGTCACTCCTACAGCCCTTCTCAGACATCTCATTTCCGTGGTTACTAATTTTCTTTTATGGTTTGTTGTGAGTGACCATGTCTGGTAGCACAGAGTTGGAATAAATATGCTTTGAATAAGATGTCTCTTTGTGCTGATTGGGATTGTCTTATGCTGTAAGAGGGGGGCTAGCTGTCCCAATACTTGGTTTGCTTTACTGCATCTAATGTCAATTTCTTTATCCAATTTCCCATCTTCGGTAAATGTAGTTCCCAGATATTTAAACTCAGATGCCTGTTTAATGCCTTTGTATTCTATTGCTATGTTTAGATCTGTCTTCTTTTTTCCTATTGACATTACTTCTGTCTTTTCAGTGTTGATTCTCTATTATTTGTTTTACATTCTTCATTCATGGATGTTAGATGTTGTTGCAATTTCATGGCTGTACGAATAGCCCCTGCTTTCCTCAATACCCCCATTCATTTCTGCCTCCCCCTGTCTCTACTCTCTATTCAAAGTCAGTGGAAAACGGTACGACTCATCATCATTTTATTCACATCATCTTATTGATTTTGCTTTTGTTTCAAAAGAGATTTGTACAATATGTTTCAACAATAAACACTTAAAAAAAAAAAAAAACTATTCTATATATTCTAAAATTCTACCGTCCCATTCTATATATTCTAAAATTCAACCGTCCCATTCTATACATTCTAAAAATCAACCGTCCAAATCTATACATTCTAAAATTCAGCCGTCCAATTCTATACATTCTAAAATTCAACCGTCCAATTCTATATATTCTAAAATTCAACCATCCCATTCTATATATTCTAAAATCCAACTGCTGCCTTCTATACATACATATTCTAAGATTCCACTATCCCCTTCTAAACATTCTAAAACTCCACTGTCCCTTTTTTATAATTCCGTCCCAATGTGGGATGCAATTCTTCATTTTTTTCAAAGCCCCAACCCAGCTGTAGTTGGGGTCCTAATATAACTGAACGGGGTTTCTGGGACTTCTCCAGGTGATCCTCATCCGAATGGTGGCACTTTGTGTCACTGTTTGTTGGTCGTTCTTTGTTGTGTTGAACAACATGCTGTCCCTTTCTATAAATATATTCTGCAATAAAATTCCACTTCCAAAATGTCTTTACCTCATTTTATGTGTTCTAAATTTCTATTGTCCCTGTCTAAGCATATATTCTAAAATATCTTAGCCTCATTCTATGTGTTCTAAATTTCCACTGCCCCTTTCAAAGCATATATTCTAAAATGTCTTTACCTCATTCTATGTGTTCTAAACTTCCATTGTCCCTTTCTAAGCATATATTCTAAAATGTCTTAACCTCATTCTATGTGTTCTAAATTTCCACTGCCCCTTTCTAAGAATATATTCTAAAATGTCTTTACCTCATTCTGTGTTCTAAATGTCCATTCCATTGTCCATTTTTTAAGCATATATTCTAAAATTTCACTGTCCTCCTCTATACATTTTAAATTCCACTGTCCCTTTCATTTTGGATCCATTCTATCCCAACAGTTACTACTAATAGGGCAGTATGTAACAGTACACAGTACTGGCACCTTTTTAAGGCATCACATTTCTAGTGCTAATTTAACAGATACTTTGTGGTGAGCACTGGTATTTTTTTTTCTTTTAGTAAAATGCATTTGTTATCCAACTGATTCTGTCCCAGAATTGTGTTATTTTAACTCATTAAAACTAAGAGATGAAGCTGCACTATCTTACTGGCAAGATGCTAGCTGCTGGCCAAAAGGTCTTGATTTGATTCTGCATCAATGCAGATTTTTTTCTTCTTTAAAACAGACTTTAGCTTTCAGGTTTGCCCAGTTTAAAACACATACCAAGTAATGTGCTGTGAATTAAAGTGGCCCACGATGTGGTGCAGCAGCTAGGCACCCGCCTTCGGATCCCAAGTCGTCGCTTCAGGTCCTGACAGAATATGACTGTTTTTTTTCAATGACTCTGGCTCCCTGGTCGACAAGCCTTAAATGGTCATCAGGTATAAGTACTGGTAAGTAAAGGTGGTCGGCAAAATGTTTACCACGGCATCAATGGAGTGCTCAACTGGTGTATAATATATATATCTAGCACTGTATCATGTCGGCCGCCCTTACTTCCGAGGACTATACCTGGTACCCACTCAAACCTGGGTCATTCTGGGAGCCAAGGTCATTGTTGGAAAATGTCAGGCTCCATCAGGACATGACCCAACGACATTCTGATCCACAGTGAGCATCTAGCCACTACACCACAGCGACTTCCAACAAACATGCATATAGATAGTGCTTACCTCAGCAGATGTCAGGAAGATATCTTCAGTAATACACCTGATATCTGCAGCTATCACAGCCAGGGCCACACCAGGGAAGATGTAGGCATTGTTTCCCTGTCCTGGGTAGAATGTCTGACCATTCATGGTGAACTCACTGAAGGGGCTCCCACTGGCAAACACTGCCCGGCCCTGTCAACAAGACACAGATATATACTCAATCAATCAACAAACAGAAAGTTAAAACTGGTCAGCTGTGCAAGATCACAATTATGAATGACATGATAAGCCTTGTGGCGAAAACACTCTTTATAATACTTACTTAGTTGCTCCTCTTCTACTTTGGGGTTTAACTTTCTTAGCCACTCCTCTTTTGCTTTGGCATGTAGAGGTTGCTAGAGAGATCGCTAGACTTCTCTATCAGCAGTTTTCTTTCTGGTTTTGTTCCATTTGAGTCAGAGACTGTCAACTGTTGTCTTCCCAGCAGACCTTAGGTCACCCTAGAGGTTTGGTTCCCTAGTTCTTAGCCTCCCATGCCTGCATGGTGGTCATCACTTTTCTCACATTCTGCATATATGTTCAAAACATCATAACTGTGACTGATCCCCTCAAGTTTGTAAGGCCAGGGTTTCAAGATCTTGATGTATTGTCTGATTGCGAACTTTGTCACTTGATCAACCTTCTCAGATATCTAATTTCTGAAACATGAAACTTGTTTCTGTGAGCTGTCATTGTCTATGACTCATTCCCGGAGGTCACGACTGGCATATAGGAAGAAACACTCTTTATCATCAACAAGGGGCTGCATGGCGTCCATCACAAGTGCTAAGGTCCTAGGTAAAGCCCTGGTGAAGGGTGGTTTTTTTTTTTTTAGACTTCTAATAATTTCCCCTGGTCTTCAGGTAGTAAGTTTGGATGCCCGTGAGTATTGTTGTGCATGTAAAAAAATCCCTTTTCAATTGGAAATCGAAAAAGAGTATCCTAACGGTGCTGCCTGAGCAAAATTTAAAGTTTAAAATCTACCCAAAGTATTTTAGGATCCTCGCCAGTGCTAAGGAGTTCGTGCACTGTGCTGAGATTCTTCAGACTCAGGCTTGAGTCAGAAGTAGAACAGGGCACTTATGGTTTCCTACCCTTGTGCCATGATGTTGATCCATCGTCTAAAAGCTAAAAGCTTTATCATCATCATCAATCAGCAGGTCCTTTACAGAACGTCGCTCTACGGAACGTCACTTTACAGAACGTCGTTTTACAGAATGTCGCTTTGCAGAACGTCTCTTTATGGAACGTCGCTTTACGGAACGTCGCGTTACAGAGCGTCACTTTACAGAACGTCGATTTACAAAACATCGCTTTACAGAGAGTCACTTTACAGAACGTCACTTTATGGAATGTTGCTTTATAGAACATCGCTTTCGTCATTGCACACATGAAGGTCTCTCTTTCTCTATCAAAATCTCCAGTGCTAAGTGATTTCATAGTTAATGCATCTTCAATGTCCTGTACCCACCCTTTGTGAAAAGAATGAATGATGCTGTGTGGAGAAAGCTGAAAGCAGTATGGATCATTCATCGTCACACATCCTTTCACCTAGGTGAAGTTAAAAATTATGTAGAGGGAATGGGGTGAGCTGCACGTGATAACAAAGGACAGAACAACTTGGCCTGAGTTGGTTGAGGCCCTATGCTCTATTGGGAGACAAGAGGAAGAAGAAGAAAACACTACCAAGATGTGACTAAGGGTAGAAACCAGCCATGACTTGGTTGACGGCCTTTGCTCCCTTGAGGGAATCAAGGGCAGGAGAAAAAGAACACAAAACGATATTGGCATGACCACATTAAAAACTATAAATTATTTTGCCTTTCCGGACTGAAATTACTGATATTTTAAAAGATCTGAACATCAAGGAAGATTGGCTTATAAACAGCATCTTGTCTCTGAAGCTGGAATACTTTGATCATATCAAGTGCCATGGTGGACAAGAAAAAATAATGGCAGAAGGCATGGTACCAGGAATTAGAGGCAGGTGTCGACCAACACGAAGATGGGCACAGGATATAAGTGACTCCTTGAGTATGAAAGTATATGAGGTGGGAGTGCTGGTGAGATACCAAGTTTCTTTCTACCAAGATTGACGTTCTGCCAATGAGCTGCCACATGATGATGATGAGGGCTCAAATACAGCATAAGAACACTGCTAAAATAAAGCCGCCGCCAACAATCATTGGATGGACTTTCATAGTGGCTACTTGTGCTGTGAATTCCCCCTTGTGCTGCTTCTTTTTTTTTTTTTTTCTTAGCGTTCAGGAGCCGTAAACTCTGGCAGACAGTTCAGCTTGTTTGTCCGCATCTGGACAATTAGAATTTGAATTCTGCGTGCACACCCATTTTACAGATCTGGCTTACTTGTATGCAAACTGTTGGTTCCTCACCTCTCAGGCAGATGTGCTCTGACTTCAGAGGGGGAAACCCCTAATTAGTCACCCATTACAACATGCTTGTTATGGAAGCTCTGGGTTTATCCTCCTTTCAACCCCCTCCCCCAAATGAGACCCCGCAACCCACACAGGGATGCAACCTCTTTGAAAACAATGTGTTCGTAACTTTTTTCAATATGGCCACTCCCTCATTAAGAATCTTGCCGCAAAACCACTTAATAATGAAAGAGTTTACCTGTGTGGATTCCAGAGCCTCATTTTAGGCAAAAACCAACAAGCATGTCGTAAAAGGTGATTAAATGAGGGTTTGCAGAAACGAGATGTGTTGGGACAAAAGGTGCATATATCGCAGCCTTGCTGTAAACCACATACGACCCCCTCTTTTAAAGTGTGAACGCAAATAAAGAATAAAAAGAGAGAATGAATAATTATATTTAAATGCAAAAAGAAAAAAGCTTCACCTCTGTAGCCTTGTATGCCTGCTCTGCCGTACACTCCGCTTTGCTGGTGGGGTTACTCAAGGCAAAAATGATGGGTCTCTTATTGTTCTTGCCCATGTCTGTGAGGATCTTTTCTGTGAAAGCTCCAGGGATGGCTGCAGCACCTGATGAGACCAGCAAACAAATAAATGTATAACTACTCACTGCAACAAGGCAGTGAAGAACGTTTAAAGTTTCTGTATTCTTATCTTCATCTTCTTCGTGTTCACCAGCTGTAAACTCCAGCAAAAGTTCAAATGGTTCCTCCACTTCTGGACTTTAGTCTTATTCCAGAACTTGAGTTTTTGAATGCACATCTGTTTCACAGATCTTTTTTTTTTGTATGCAGACTGTTGGTTCCTCACCTCTCAGGGAGATACCTTCTGACTCCCAACACTTTTAATTAGTCAATATTTGCGACACTTTTGTTGGAGGGAGTGTGGGGAGGCGTGGGCAATGAGTAAAATGAAAATCTATGGAGACAATGATGTGGTGGTGAATGTCTGTGGTCTCTTGATGCCATTCAAGACTCAGAGGAAAGGCAAGACAAGTAGTTAACCAGATGACTAGGGTACCATCAGTACAGAGACTCTCTGCTGGTTGTTGAGGAAGGAGACAGAGCTATTTTGGGCTGTGGCGTCAAATCTTTACCCAGATGAAATTAGAATTCAATGAGTGATATCACAAACATGCCCACTTTCTCAACTTCCTAGAAAATAACTTTAAAATTTCTGTAATTTAATGAGCGAAACTATTTGAATTGCATACAAGAAAATCTTAGGGTTCGACCAATCAACTGACATTTTTGTTCCCTCCATCTGGGTCATTAATCCTGTTTAGGCATACCAGCCTTCCCGTCAGTATGGTGTCTGGCCTTTTCTGGCCTCTATCCAGATATACCCAAATAAAAATCAGCACTCACTGGGTGATGTGGTCAAATCATGCCCATCTTCTTTACTTCTCAGGACAATCTTTGTAACTGAATGAGTGAAACTGGTTGAACTGCATAGAAGAATACCCTAGGTATCAACCAATCAAACTGATCCATTTAAGGGTGGGTGGACTTAGAAGCCAAGATCAATTTTGAAGAAAATATCAGACTTTGGGTAGATTCAAACTCAAGACTTTAGAGCCAACAGGCACGTGTCTAGCAGCGATGCTACAGGAGCTCCCTTTGAATGTAACCTGCCAGGAGACTAAGGCATTAATAAATACTAGTATCCAAGAAAGGTGGCTAGATACCCACACCAAATTTTCACCTCATGACTCCCATCCCTGCTTCCCAGGGTAAATGTGTAAATGATCAAATCTTCTGAGCAAGCATTATCTTGAATTAACTGCTTAATTTCCACCTCTGTGGCACCTCCTGGCCAGTCTCTGCATTCCCAGCTTAGTGTGATTACGACCCTACACAAGTCTGACTGTTCAGATGGCACTTTGACCCACTCCTCTCTTCGCCTAATGTTCTTAAGGATGCAAACCTGTCTGATTGTGTCTTCTGCCTGAGCCATCCATGTAAAGTAAGTAAGTAAAGGACCCTATCCCACATCTTTGGGCATATAGGGCACATAGGGCTAGAGCTATATTTTATAGACGAACAGCACAAGATGGGTGATGTGGACAGTATCAAGCCGGCCGCCTCTACCTCCTGGGACTGCACCTGGTACCCACTCAAGGCTGGGTCGACCTGGGAGCAAAGGTCATTTTTGAAGAAAAGTTTGGCTCTGCCAGGGAGCGAACCCACGACCCTCTGATCTGTGGTGCGTCTAGCCGCTCTGCCACAGCGACTCTTGAGCCATCCATGACTTCCCTCTTATCAGCCACTGACCCTTCACTGCACCTAGAGCTTCGTGCAAAGGGTGGTCTGTGTCTGCAGCTACCCTGTGTTATGACTTGGCCTGCAGCACCTTGTGCCTACCTGCAACCGTCAGCAAACTAAGGATGTATCGCATACACACAAATGGGGTGTCTCTGGTGCAACCCAGAATGACCCGCATAGCTGAGTTCTGTATGCGCTCTTGTTCGTCCATTCGACTCTTTGAGATGGTAAACAGTCCCAGACCATAACAAAACCACTGACAGAATCAGGTACTGATAAAGTGTGAAAAGCATTCTCTGCTCTAGGTATGTATCAAAACACAGCTGTACGGCACATGAGATTTAGATTGCATGAAACCTTTCATCAAGGCTACTGCCCACCTGATACAAGGTTTTCCTGGCAAAAGGATCGAACAAGAAGAAGACTGGAAAAAAAAAATTTGAAAATACCATACCAATGATAGCTGTAGGTTTCAAATTCTGGACTATTTCCTCCAGGTTATCCAAAGGCTCGTGTTCTTTGGCAAACAATATTTTTTCCTCAGTCACTCCACCTTTTGGACGATTCTAGAAAACAAAAATTCAGTGTAAATATTGAAATATACAGGTGGGAAGCCCTTGAGGCTTTCAAAACAGTATACAATAAATGTTTCTGAATGTGTTGTATTTGCTATTCGACCCTTGATAGGTTAATGCAAAATTACGTGTTTAAAGGTGCTATTTCAATGTTTTAAAACAAATTTTTTTCATATTCCACAGTTATTTATTCAAGCTGTATCTTCTGCAGCAATCTCTGGTTATGCACTTCATCTGCTATGGTTTGTTTTGTTCAGATGATTGAGGAAATCTTTTTGATGGCTAAAACCTATAGTTAGTTGTTTGCCAATTTGTTGATGGTTCTCTCTTCTCTGTATAAGGGTTTTGACTTCTTGAAGAGACAGTAGCTGGTAGATATTGTCTGTTTCCACCTTCTTTGGCTGAAGCATCTCTGCTTTTATTGCAATGAGGCACTGTAAACACAGCTTCTGATATACTATGGTGTTTAGTGTTTTCTTCTATCTCTCTATTACTTTCAATATATGTATTTGTTTACTATTTACATCTTCTTCTTCTGCTTCATGTTCACTGGCTGTAAACACCTGTGAAGAGTTGAGTGAGTGAGTGACTTTCTACCCCACTAGGACATCACACAAGCGATAAACACCCTATGACACAAAGTGCCACCATGTGGATGAGGATCACCGTGGAGTGGTCCCAGAAACCGCGTTCAGACATTTGGCCATTTTTATGGCCTGCCTATATTGCGGCCCCTGGCAAAAGCCAGAGTGGGGCTTCAAATAACAAAAAATTATGTCCTGAAAAGGACGTAAGGACTTGAAGCAAAAGTAGTGGAGAGTTCCAGTTACTGTCCACTTCTAGAACTTGGTCAGTTCAGAATTTGAGTTTTGTGTGCACATCTGTTTTACATATCAAGCTTATCTATATTTAGAATGCTGGTTCCTCGCTTCTCAGGCAGATGCACTCTGACTAAGAAAACACTTTTAATTAGTCAGCTTTTATGACATGGTTTTTTTTAAAGGGGGGGGGGGGGGGGGGGGGGGGGGGGGGGGGGGGTTGTCCTACTCTCTTTTTGGACTGTCCAAGGAATTATATTCCTTCTTTTGTAAAACCCCATTACAAAGGCCTCAAGATATTGTTTTTTAAAAAAAACCTCTACTGTACCAAATTAATGAGGTTCAGAATTAGAGAACAAAACAAAAAAACAAAAAAAAATTGGTCAATAACCTCTATTTAAAAGGACCCTTTTTCATGCTTTTAGGCGCATTGGGAAATATAGGGCTAGACCTAGATATTTATAGACCAATCGGCACTTTGTGGGTGATGTGGTCAGCATCACGCCAGCCACCTTTGCTTCCCAGGACTGCATCTGGTACCCACATCAAGGCTGGGTAGACCTGGGAGTCAAGGGATAACCTGTTAAAACAATTTAAAAAAAAAAAAAAATCCAATCTTCTAACCTTTACAACGAGTCCTTTAGAGTCAACCAACCAGATTTGTTTCAGGGCATTCTCAGGCGTCTGGCCAGTCTTCACCATTGTGTTCATTAGCAACTTGGCAATACCTATCGAAGCCTGAGGGAAAATAAATACTTAGTGAAACATAAATAATAATTTTAAAAAATATAAAAAAAGTACAATAAAGGTAAGCTTATGATAGATCTGACCACAGGAGTGTTACAAAGCATGTTTGCAATGCCTGGAAACAAAAGCTGTCCAAAGCAATTAATTATAAATGTTTTCTTCAGTCAGAGTGCATATGCCTGACAGATTAGGAACCAAAAGATCTGCACACACAAAATGTTTTTACCTCTGAACCATTTCATTACTCACGTCCAGGTAAATTTCTTTTTATTTTTTTGTTATTTTGCTGGTGGTATGCAATAGTGGCACCTTTTTTAAGTATAATTTTTTACAGTGTTACAGTAACATAATTTTTTGGTGAGTACCGGCACCTCTTGTTAGAAACTCTGTGGTAAGTATAGGCTTTCACATGCATAGCATTCTCGGGCATGGAGAACAACAGGCTAGATACAACTTTTCAGTGAGCAGATTTGTAAAAAAATTTAATTTTTCTGTTTGTGCCATTTTTCCAATAAAATATATACTACCATTGCTGCCTTTAAGTTTGTTGTGTAACGAGGCCTCAATCCTTTCCACAGTGCAACTCTTGTAGTGTTATCCATGAGAACAGTTTGTAGCACTGCAGAAAATGAAACCTTTTACATTAACTCTTTCAGTACCAAGGAATACATTCACTGGTTACATTATAGATGGTACACATTTCTTTACTTTTCCTATCCCATTCTTGTCTTATGTTAACCCCTTATTTTCCAGTTGTTACTATAACACTTTTTCTCCCAAAGCTGTATTGTTCAACTCAACAAGACTGGTATACTGTTACTCTAGGATAAAACTTCATTACAAAAATTAGGTCAATGGAAATAAAAGAGCTGATAGGGTGGCTGGATAAGCAATCACTACCGATGGTCAACCTATAGATTATGCTGATATTATTAATGCCCTCTGAGAAACCGAAAGGGTAGAGCACTTTGGGGGGCAGTAAATCCACATCACTCGCCAGAATTATAGACTTGAGAGTTAATATCGGCATAGCAAAAAATGAGACGTACACCAGGCACATTAGAGTACTTGTTATTCAACATAGAACTGGTACTATTAGCCACTGGACGCTGGGGTTTATACCGAGGGGAGGATCTGAACACCTATGGACATGTCCGGAGTGCAATGATGATAACTCAACTAACCAACTAACAACAGTTTTAGCATAAACACTGCTGAATTCAGTACTAACTGGGACCGGAATAGTTAGGGATTATGTAATGTTTCATTTTCCTCTAAGCTGCACATAAATGAAATTACAACAAACATTTGGAATCAAACTCGCCCTACCTCTCCTGCTCCCTGAAATACAAATATGTTGTCCCTGATGGGCACTCCAGTGATCTTGAGACTGGCTAGTATCCCAGCCACTGCAACCGCTGCTGTGCCTGTAACATCACAGGAGTGTATACATGGGGAGATCAATTGTATATGAAATAGAAAATATATACGGGAGTAGATAATTGGTATATGAGATAGAAAAATATGTAGATGGGGAGATAATTTGTATATGAGACAGAGAGTATGTACATAGGAAGATATTTATATATGAGTGAGAAAATATGTAAATTTAGAGAAAATTTGTATATGAAATAGAAAATATGTACACAGGGAAATAATCTGTATATAAAATATATGTGGGTAGATCATTTATATTTGAAATATAAATTATATATGTACGGAGATCATTTGCATATGAAACAAAAAGGTCATCATCAGAAGATAATCTGTAAATGAAATATTAAATATGCATGGACATATGCCCGGTGCATGGGTTTTTACAGTCTGCTATTCGGATTGTGTCCTAGCTCCAAGCACCCATTGAAGCATACAGGCTGTGGTGGGGCTGCCCAGCTTGAAGCAGGCGGTAGTTGGTCAGTGACATTCGAAGATGTCTCCCACCGTCAGAGGCAACCCGTGGCGCCCTCGTCTACGCCAACTGACAAGGCCTAACTGCTGTCCCTTCGATTTGTTTCCGAGACCAATTACTGCCAGGGATGAAGTTCATCCTCTTCATAGCACAAAGCCTGCCAGTATTGTAGAGACAATAAGCTGCCCATGCATCATGGTCCCTCGCTCGCCTGCCTTGTTTACTCCAAAGGAAAGGTAACATCAGTATGTTTAAAATAAAGCAGGTTGCAAAAGCTGCAGGATCAAAAGAGCAATACTATGCCTGTCTGACGTGTCAGAGCTTCAATCCTAGACCAGCTGTCAGCCAAGGCTAAGGGGGTCTGCCCTGCCATAAAATAAACGTTTTCAGGCTGCACTTCCTGTTCCTTGGATAACGCTGGTATCCTCCCAAGTGTGCTCCCCAGCCTAAAGTTGTTGGCACAATATGGGATGCCCAACATTCGGCGTTAACAGAAGACAGATGGTATCAGCTCTTGTTATACGGTAGCTCAGTCATATCTTACCAAGACTTATATGTATAGTATATACGTAGAGAGAAAAGAGAGAAAGATAACTATATGCAAAATATAAAGGGCATACATAAGATTTGAAGTTGCCATGGCGTAGCGACTAGACGCTCACGTGCAGATCAGAAGGTCGTGGGTTCGCTCCCTGGCGGAGGACTTATTTCAAAAATGACCCTGACTCCCAAGTCAATCCAACCTTGAGTGGGTACCGGGTGCAGTCCCAGGAAGTAAAGGCAGCCAGTGTTATGCTGACCACATAATTCATCTTGTGCCGATTGGTCTATAAAATATATGTCTAGTCCTATACGCCCTATACGCTTAAAGGCGTGGAAAAGGGACCTTTCCTTTACATAGAAGATCATTTGTGTACAAAATATACACTATATACATAGGGAGATGATTTGCACATAAAATAAAAAGTAATATGAGAGCAAAGTATCCTATTTGACATAACTATTAGAGAAAAGGTGTGGATCTAAATCTCCCCCATGTGGTTGCGAACATGCTTTGTAATTCCAAGGCGCAGGGTTCAATTCAAGCTGTAGGTGATTTGACTGCAGACCTCCTTGTGTTGGCTTTAACAGCTGAACATTTCAGAAAGCAATAGCAAACGACTGAACATAACATTTTCTAGTGTAACCACAAACAGCTAACAAATGCTGGGGTTGGTTCTGCAATGTAATGTCAAGGATACATAACTAACTAGAACAATTATTAGGTCACCACAACTTTCTTACAGAAATTACTCGTACTATTTTATGAGATTATGTTGACCCCAGAACCATTATTGCATTTTCATCATCATTATTTTCCTGTTGTGCAATCATATTTCACATAGGGCTGGCAGTTATTTTTCCATTCTGTTCTATCCTGTGTAATCCCTTCAATATCATGGATACAATCCAGTCCAGAACCTTTGGCCTCTCTTTTCAACATTCACTCTAGGGTATCTGGGGGTGTTCTTTTGTCGTGTCAGTCGACCCAATAAACAAGGATAAGAGCTATTTTATTACAGTCTACAGATCATACAAACCTTGGATATCGTCATTGAATGTGCAGTAATCAAGTCGGTACTTCTCCAGAAACCTAAATGCATTGTGATTGCCAAAATCCTCAAACTGAACCAGACAGTTCTTGCCATATCTGTAAAATAAAACAAATAAAAAAACATACATTACATTACATTACATCTCTCTCTCTCTCTCTCTCTCTCTCTCTCTCTCTCTCTCTCTCTCTCATACACACACACACATTTATACATACATATATATACACACACAAATATATATATAAATACATACACATATAGATACATACACATACACAAACATATATTCTCTTAACCCTTTCTCCCTGCGTCACTAATAATTATGCATTGCCAGAATGAAAGATAAGACAAGAACTGTAGCAGCAGCTACTGTGTTCCTGATAGACATGTGCTGGCCTCAAGAAAAATGCCTCTTGAGCTTATGATACTGATAAATGATGCCATAAAAATAATAAACTATGAGAAAAATCCATATGTGTCAGTGGGCCATCTCTAAAACTGTGATTATTAGTGGGGTAAAATTTCATAAAAATCATAAATCAGGCATATTGGGTATATAGGGCCAGAGCTATATTTTATAGACCAACGACACAAGATAGGTGATGTGATCAGTATCACGCTGGCCAACTTAACTTCCCAGGACTGTACCTGGTACTCACTCCAGGCTGGGTCGACCTGGGAGCCAAGGACATTTTAAAAAAAGTTCGACTCTGCCAGGGAGCGAACCCACGACCTTCCGATCCGCAGGTGAGCGTCTAGCAGCTATGCCACGCCGACTCCCCATAAAAATCATGACCTCTTAAAAGTCAGATCTTCAAACTAATGTGTGTGTGATGACCCTGATGAGCCTGGTCTCTACGCTGACAGCAAGTCGAGCAGAAAATCTGTGTGACAAACGACCTCACAAGATACTTGGGGCTGGAAAGTAAATGAAGGAAACACCGAGGGTGGCTCGTGGTCAGTTGCGTACCAGACGTTGAAGAAGACAGTTGTCGTATTTGAAGATGAAGTTTCAATGTCGAGTGAATGACTAGTGTTGTAATACTGAAGAATCGAACAGTGATGACTGTGTCTGAACAAGTGTCGGAGTATTGTGAAAGAATTCAGACAGAATAAAACTGATAATATGTCTGAAGGAAACAGCGCCATTTTATGTTGTTAATCCTAGACAGTAGAAGTGGTGCAAGTAGCAATGTGCAAGCTACCAAGCTGATGTGTGAAGTAACTTTGTTACAGTGTGAAGATGCGGGAAACCACCAGCAGTCCCTCCTGATACAAGGTGAAGTTAAATGGTTGTCTCAGGTACAAGCATTGAACATTTGCTGGAGACAAGTGCAGAGGTAGCAGCATTTTTAATGGATTACAACACTCCAGCAGTGACGATTTGACATGATAAAGACTGGATGTGCAAACTGGCATATTTTGCCTACAGCTACCAAAAAAAAACAGAAAAAAACTGTTTCAATGCAGGACCAGATATTCACCTGCACTTGTCATCGATTGAACCTGAGATAAGAAAACTGAGCAAAAAAAGATGTGCCCACAGGTGTCTCATTCAATGTTAATTCATTTTTTTTCTTCAAATAACACTTACTGCAAATGTTTAGATTTATTGAACTTTGGAAGTACTTTTATAAACGACCAACTTCTGACAATGTGGACTGATGGCTGCTGAGAATTAACTGAACATTATCATAGATTTCAGAGTTAAAAAATATATTTAATTGCAAGGACATTGTGCAGTTGTTAAGATAAGTTTATATTTCAAATTCCCTTGCTATCGGCCCACTCCCCCCACCATTTTTTGTTTCTGCTTCATAATACTGATTCTAAAAAGCTTTCCACAAGTCAATACAGTCGGGAACCGTTGTGTCATAATTGGTATGTAGTGTCAGTTGCATTTTTGGTAGACTTACCGGTCAGTATCAATGAGCGATATTGTCAATTCTATCCTAGTCACCTTTATTGCCCGGGCAATTTCCTCATACCAACTTTAGGTCGGGTCAACCCGTGAGACCAGGTCACTGAGGGGACAGGATTCAGAGGGAAACAAAGAGGCAAAGGGCAGGAACAGACAGAAAAGGGAATGAAGAGAGTGAAAAAGGGAGAAGAGAGACAGAAAAGGGAAGAGAAACAGAGGCAAAGACAGAGACAGACAAGAGTGAGAAGAGATGGATAAGCCCTTCATTTTTACTGATAAACATCACACAAGGGGTAATCAGTATCCCTCTGACTACCTTTATTTCCCATGGCACCTCCATTGTTGTCTAGGAGTCTATCAACTTTATAAAGCCCTCCTGGTGGGAACCCAACTTACAACCACCATACTGGCACAGAAGTGAAAACCATTTGATTACCATAGCTCTAACTCCTATACATAGATGGTAATCTGAACCACCCCACCGCTTTCTTCACCCTGTTGTGTAACGTATCCGCCATTTCTCTAGTACAGTAGTTCTTAAACTTCCTAATGCCATGACTCTTTAATACAGTTCCTCATGCTGTTGCCACCCTTTATTACAGTTCCTCGTGTTGTGGCGACCCCAAACCATACAATTATTTTCGTTGCTACTTCATAACTTTAATCAATATGCATTTTCCGGTGGTCTTATGCGACCCTTGTGAAAGGGTTGATCGACCCACAAAAGGGTCACACCTTACAGGTTGAGAACCGCTGCTCTATATCTGGTAATCTTGAATGACAGTCAGTAGGGTTTTTTTAATAATTTTTTTGTATTTTAAACTTTTCTCATATAAGATAAGCAACCAACATGATCACCCCTCGACCACTGTGCAGCACCCTTTGAACTATGTCTGGCCATCTTGTAAACAAGAACAACCCATTTTGAATTCTGTAACTATCATCTTAATGCAGAATACTATGCTTTGTGAACACCACAGCAATAAATCACTTTGTCCAGGTTTGTGCAAACAAAATGACCTGGCTATGAACCTTGGCTTGCCCTAGTAAAACAGGCAGTTACATTTTATTTAGTTGACTGTATATTTCAGTGAGAAGGATTCATTTATTTGTTTCCTTATTTTCCATTGTTACTGTAGTATGCACAATATGAGTTATAGAAAATTATGTCAGGCAATCAATTGTGCAGTCTACTGTTTGTATCTTCTTTGTTCAGACTTATTTTAATAGTTAACGTTGTTTTGCATCAGGTACTGTGTGTGACTACAGCCTTCAGTTCCATGTCGTGCTAAGCACTTCCCATTCAATGAATCTACAGCATTCTGCTTCATCTTCTTCTTCTTCTTAGGGTTCACAAGTTGTCATCTCTGGTGGAAAGTTCCGACTGTTTGTCCACTTTTGGACTTCAGTATTGTTTCAGTTCTGAAATTTTGCATGCAAATCTGTTTTACAGATCTAGCTTACCTGTATGCAGATTATTGGTTGCGCTCTGGCATATCCATTCTGATTTTAGATAAATCTCTAATAATTTACCTTTTACAGCATGCTTGTTAGGCAGGCTATGAACCTTTGCATATACATTTTTTCTCTAAAGAAGGGGGCTTGGAACCTACACAGAGAGTGGTTCATTGCAAAACTAATATATTCTTCTTGTCTTCTCCAGCTTCATTTCCACTTCAATTTTTCTACTGTCATGACATACTCCAGTTTTCCCATTCTTTTCTCTTTTAGTCCCAAACAGTGCAAGATGTGTTCATGACTTTTCACCCACTAATTAAAAACATTACATTGAGTGACTTCTAAAATTTAAGTTTCAGTCAGTGTTGTCGTGAAATGATAGCCATTACGCATCGGTCTGCAAGGCTGATAACCTGTCTTACCTGTGATCTGCACAAAATTCAAACTTGGACTCGCCCAGAAATATATAGTCCCTTATATCTATATATATAGGCCTGTATTGGACAACATTATTATGTCTGCCTTTTCTGGTTACTTTAACTAAACTCCACTTTTAAATGTATATCTCCTGGAGATATATTTAGGGAGTTATTTGAGGTTTCTTGGAAACCGATTTACTCCTTGCCCCAGTATACAAGGAACTTCTTTTGTACCAACGCCTGAAGTGTCTAAGTGACGCTATTCTCCTTGCCAGCTTCTCAAGCGTCCAGATGTGTTAATCTGTGCCTGTATAACTTTCACTTTTCAAGGCAATCTGGAAATGTCTCAGTTTTTACATATGCTTGGGTAAGTTAATTATAGTTTACGAGTACCTAGAATGATGTCTGTAAAGTAGTCACTGCTGTAGAGAAATCAGTATCGGCTGTGTTATCTCACTTAGTTCGACCGTTCTTGATCGCTAGAGTAGCGGATTCGAACGTAGATCTTCCACTGTACAGACTAAATAGCTTATGCCCTCAATAAACCACCCATACTATAAAACTTAATACCCTTACAATTATGTACGTTTTAAACTAACTAAAAAATCTGTACATATGAAATGGGGACAGAATTGGGTCAGGGCTTTGTTAATCAAAGTATGTGTGTGCTTGACCCAGATCAATGATGCTGGGGCGGTTGGGAAAGCTAGCGAATGCAGGTACTGACAGTAAATATTGGTGTTTGTGTGCAGAGTGAGGGGGAGAGGGAGAGTGATATATGTGTTAGACCACTTTATCTATCTCCACTGTATATCTGACTTGCCTTCTCTTGCACTAAACAGACAGATAAATATAGGAGACTTATGTCTTTTGGTCTGGAGAGGCAATCTGAGGAATGAAACAGGAGAGCAGGGAAGAGTCAGCAGATGGGGGTTGATGACTAATGCTTGCTCTGTCTTTCCTGTCAAGATGTTACCCTCTTGGTGATGACTAATGTTGAGTTATTTTCTTGACAGGATGTATATTTTCTGAAGAGCTGGCAGAAGATTCACAGTCCAACCAACATCCACCAACCATCAAACCACCAGAAACAACTTGTTACCCACCAGCTAACACCTGTGAAGGTTCCTGACATCTCCAACCTGGGGAGATGGTACCTCGTGTCCTTACTGGTGATAGAGACTTGCTAAATACCGGTACAGTTGCTGTATAGTGAAGTACTCTTACTACTTGATCCAGTGGAGCAGAATTCCCAGAGTCAAAGACAGTCGAATCATCCGGAGCTGAGGGAGGCATCATAGACAGAAAGAAGAGAAGATAAGTCTGATGCTTCGCATGATGTTGTGTTCCTCACAGCTCCTAGATTGTCCAGTGATGAGAAGATGTCATCTCCAAGACCTTCTGTCTGTGTAGTTTCTTTGTGATTTGGACATGAGATCCTGAGATCTGGCATTTGTCTCACTTTTATATATCTAACTTATATTGATTACATACATTCATTTTCATGGCTGACTTAGGTGTCTCAATTTCACCTTTTTAAGTGTTTAGCAGTGTGTATGTATGTGTATCTTCATTATATGTGTTAACATGGTTATGATAATGAACTATCATAACCTGGGGGCTTTCTTTAGTAAGTAGTGGGGGTGTCCAGCCAAGTGTGCCTAGAAATATTATATATATATACTGACATATTTTGTAGTGCCAATACTTGAGTTGCCCTACTCCAGAGATAAGTTGATCGTATATTGGCCACGGGGAATCCCTTAGACCAATACGAGCCAAACGACTCAACATAATTATCTCTGAGTGCTGTTGGTTCTGAAGGAGGAATCCTTACATTAGGCACGCGACAGGAGTGATATGTGACAAGTGTACACTAAATTGGAAACCACAGAGGTATCTTTATTTCTATTTTTTAAATTCCTACAATTATTATTCCAAGGTCATTTTTGAAAAAAAAAAGTCCGGCCCCCATCAGGACCTGAACTCACGACCTTCTGATCTCCACTGCATGGGCTGCAGCAGCCAAGACAACAATGGGAAAAGACTGGACAAGGGATTAAGAATTGTTCTCGGAGCCATGAAAACCACCCCCATTAGAGAGATAGAGAAAATAGCAGATACTGAACTACTCGAACTCAGAAGACAATACAAAACTCTTTTACAGTATGAGAAATTAAAAAGACTTGAAAGTTATCCACTGCATTTTAAATTTCAAGAGAGAACAAAAAACAGACTAAAGCGTCAGAGACCCAACCACCTTGCTAGAGAACTGTACAGACAGCACCAAGATCTGCTTGAAAGAGATGTAGCACTGTGCGAAAAACTTAGGCCAGAACCATGGACAAGCAAGCCAGAGAAGGCAAATGTAGTCCTAACGGTACCAGGGATCACTTCAAAAGATGCCCAGATGGAGATACAACAGAGAACCCTGGCTCTTGCTATGCTTGATGAGAAGTATCCAAACACCACTTGGACTCAGGTTTTCACCGACGGCTCTGCTATTGTGGAATATACATTAAACCCCCTAGCAGTAGAGCAGAAACTCTCTCTCTACCAGCAGATGACATCTGCACTAACTTCAGAGCTGAGGCAACTGCCCTCCTTTCTGCAGTCCAACATCTCATCAATCAAGAACACAGAGGGCACAAAATTGTTATACTTAGTGACTCATTGTCTGTTCTCAAAGCACTTGCAAGCAAAAAACAAGACAAACTAATTTCAGATCTAAGGACCAACATTGGCTTACTCTCCAAGGAAGCAGAACTGGTCTTTCAGTGGATACCAGCCCACTGTGGTATTCAAGGAAATGAGAGAGCAGATGAGCTGGCAAAAGCAGTCTTTCAAGCGGGAGTGGAGAAGGCAGAATGGATATTACGGACCAGAGAGTGACAGCATAAACAAACTCAACAGGAAAGAACAAACATCAATTTTTATACTTCGGACTGGACACTGTGGTCTTCGAGCACACCTGTACAGGATAGACATAAAGGAACGTGCTGCCTGTGATTGTGGAGCAGAAAGACAGACCCCTGGGCACATACTACAGTACTACCCTAACCTCTCCCAGCAAAGACTGTGGATCTGGCCATTGAAAGAGAAGCTATGGGGGACCGGTGGCGACCTTAAACGCACAATCCTATTTGTGACCCAGATGGGACTCAATGTCTAGTATGACTAATGTCGAACGCAGAAGAAGAAAAAAAAAATGATCTGCTGGTGAGCATCTAGCCGCTAGACCATGGTGGCTCCCGTACTGTGATGTCGGTTCTAAAAAAATTATTGTTAAAACTTGTCACTACTGTGCAGTGTAGACGGGGGTCATGAGCCTGAGATTCTAGGGCCACATGGCTAGTGCTGTCATCACAAACTATGCAGGTGAGGATGTTTAATTTTGTCCCCATCTCCAAAGAAAAACTCCATCACCTTACCAGGGATCAAATCCAGGTCTCCTGCATGAGAGCCTGATTTTGCAACTACTTGGCCAGCCACTTCTCCTTGGGTTTTAATTCGGCTCAATTCAACTTTACAACCAAACTGACCACACAAAACAGTGCCCACCTTTTCACTACTGCCCGCATGAACTCATCAATAAGCTGGTCATACGGAGCTCCCGACACTCTGGCCTGCCGTAGCCCAATGTATAATGGATCATTGCGGATACTCTGCAAACAAAGATACAATCAGTAAATCAGCAAAAACAGAAAGGTGAATTAGTCAATATATGGAGTGAATCATGGACAATGGACAATTCATGAAAAAACATTTGAAACTGGCGCAGATGTGGTTTTACATAAGAGTGATGAGAAACCCTGGAAATATTTTTAAAAATAATAACAATAATGATGATGTCTTGAAAGAAACTTACTTATGAAGAGAACTGATTACCCACATCAGCAAGAGACAATGTTCATTTTGTGTGTGTGGGTCATATCACAAGAAGAAGAAAACTGGAGTACATCGAGACAGTGGAAAGGCTGAAGGGGAAAAGAGACAGAGAAAGACCAACTGAGTACAGGCTGGACAGTTTGACATCATGGCATAGAACATCTGTGTCAGAAGTAAAAAGTAAGTAAAGTTCCCTTTTCACGCCTTTCGGCGCATCGGGCTTATGGGCAGAGCATCCCATATTTTTACAGACCATCAGCACTCTGTGGGTAATGAGGTCAGCATTACGCCGGCTGTCTTTACTTTCCCAGGACAGCCCATCCTGGTACCCATTTTAGGCTGGGTCGACCTGCGACGTCCCATACCACGATAAAAATCCACGCAGCCTGCAGTGGGTTTCGATCGCGGTATGCTGGCTTACGAATCGGACTCGCAACGCCTTAGCCACGGACGTCGCTCTGTGTCAGAACTGACTCAAAATACACAAGACAAAAGGTTATGAATAGACATGACTACCAGCGCCACACAGCGTGAACTATAAGAAAGAGACTGATTTGATTTGATTCAAGAACTGACATCACAGCACTCGGGGCATTCCCATAAGTGCTCCGTTCCCATCTTCAGCAGCCAGCGAAGAGTTCCAATACTAATGGTGCCAGTAGCATTCTGATTAAACATCCGTCTTGCCTTGCCTCTGAGCCTCAAGCATCTGCCAGAACCTCTCGTCACTTCCCCCTGCATCAATCTCACCAGACTGGTGATCCATCTGCTCATCCGAACTGTACACGCTTTCCCACAAGGCACTAACCACATCTGCCTTATCATGAATCAGTTTATCATGAATTTTAGAAAGAGAAGAATTAGTCAAGAAAACAATTAGAGATAACAGAAAACTAGAAACAATCTGATGAATAACAGTCTATCATGCCATCATTTCAGTCCATCCCAGGGTGGTTTCAGGGGTCCCATTGTGAGGAAAACATGTATAGACCCACTGCCTGCCCAAAAGCCTGTCGTAAGAGTCGACTAATTGGGAGCTTCCTTTAAAGTCAGAGTGCAGTTGCCTGAGAGGCAAGGAACCAACAGTCTGCATGCAAATGAGTCAGACCTGTGAAATGAAACAAGACTAGAGTCCCCAAGTGGAAGAACAACCAGAAGTTTCCGCTGGAGTTTACAGCCGGTGAACGCTAAGAAGAAGAAGAGTAAGATTTCAGACAATCCAGATAATTCCTCTTGCTCTAACTCTGCCTTCCCTACTTTTTTCATTAGTGTTTTCCAACACATTCTTCTCAAATTGTTTGACTATGGAACACAACTTGGGCCCTAGAACCTATACTGGAAAGTTTGAACCGAACTCTTGACTGACTGGCAAATTTAAATTTTTTTCAGACTAGTTTTATACTGTGCTATGGGGAAGTAAGGCAAACACAACCCATAGTGATGGTGAGTGTGACTAGCAGACCTGTCTCTGTATATTTCTCCTATCCACAGTTGCAAAACCTAGGCAGTAATATAGCAATCATGTAATGCCCAAGTTTTCATGATCTCTCTCAGCCTGCTTTGTTTAATCCAAAGGAAAGGTAACACCAATATTTTTGGAATGAAAACCAACCTCATGCCCTTCTAAGCACCGAATGATGTGTTTTTGGCTTCCCTCCTCAATTTTAGGGAGTATCTGTGGTGAAGTGGTCACACACTCTGAAGGTTGTGGGTTTGTTTCACTGTGGAGCTATTTTTACTGAGATCCCTGGGAATCATCACCGGAGCTACAGAGGTCATGCTCTGTGTGGCACTCTTGGCAGGCAGCTAGCTGAAGAGAGACTGAGCCATACAGAAAAAAACCTGCTGAAATGAGGTCGATCCATTACCTCCTTAATTTCAGTCATGAAATCCTAAGTTCTCAAACTTTTCTCCTTTTGATCACACTAAAAACTTTTGACTTTCTCACTTGCCACTTCCATTCCGTATATGAACTCTTTGAAAGCAATAAACCCTTGACTTTACCAGTGACTGATACTCTGGAAATTCATTTGCCTACCACTGTGGGACAGAAAGAGTTAACGATAATCTCAGACTAACAACCACAAGCACAGGAAAAGTTGTAAGAAGCCATACCTCATTGTTTGTGCCCACATCTATCATGACTGGCAGACACTGGTGTGGCTGTATCCCAGCACAGGCTGTATACAAGGACAGTTTACCGACTGGGATGCCCATACCGTATGCTCCTAAGTCTCCGAGGCCAAGGATTCTTTCTCCATCTGTGACCACTATAGCCTGTGTTTACCAACAGATATGAGAAATTCAGATTACCAACAGATATGAGATATTCAGTTTACCAACAGATATAAGATATTCAGTTTACCAAAAGATATGAGATATTCAGTTTACCAACAGATATGGGAATTATGCATTTATCAACAGATATAGGGATTATACGTTTACCAACAGATTTGGGGATTACATATCTTCCAACAGATATGGGAATTATCCATATATCAACAATTGTAGTATTTAAATGTTTATAAACAAATATAGAAATAAAATGTTTATTAACAGATATACGCGCGGGAAGACGGGCGGTCGTGCATGCATGTGTGTTTGCGTGTGCGCTAGGAAAGATGGACTTTGGTGTGTGTGTGAGTGTGTGTACGTATGTGCGTTCGTACGTGCATGCATACGTGTATGTATGTGTCGGCTGATATGGGCTTATGAAAGCTAAGCTAAGAAAAGGCGGGGATGCCCATAAACACAACTGAATGTTTTGATCAGTCTTTATTAACGGACAAAGCAACAAACTAATTAATCAACCAACATGGTCAATATCTCTAATTAAACAACCAACAAAGTCAACATCTCTAACTGAACAACCAACAAAGTCAACATCTCTAATTAAACAACCAACAAAGTCAACATCTCTAATTATTCCAAACAATAAAGTCAACATCTCTAATTAAACAATCAACAAAGTGAACATCTCTAATTAAACAAAAAACAAAGTCAACTTTTCTAATTAAACAACCAACAAAGTCAACATCTCTAATTAAACAACAAAGTGAACATCTCTAAATAAACAACCAGTAAAAGTCAACATCGATAGTTAAACAACCAACAAAGTTTACATCTCTAATTAAACAACCAACAAAGTCAACATCTCTAATTAAACAACCAACAAAGTCAACATCTCTAATTAAACAACCAACAAAGTCAACATCTCTAATTGAACAACCAACAAAGTCAACATCTCTAATTAAACAACCAACAAAGTCAACATCTCTAATTGAACAACCAACAAAGTCAACATCTCTAATTAAACAACCAACAAAGTCAACATCTCTAATTAAACAACCAACAAAGTCAACATCTCTAATTAAACAACCAACAAAGTCAACATCTCTAATTAAACAACCAGACAACTCAAAATCTCTAATTAAACAACCAACACAGTCAACTTCTCTAATTAAACAACCAATAATGTAAACTTCTCTAATTAAACAACCAACAAAGTCAAAATCTCTAATTAAACAACCAACAAAGTTAACATCTCTAATTAAACAACCAACAAAGTCAACATCTCTAATTGAACAACCAACAAAGTCAACATCTCTAATTAAACAACCAACAAAGTCAACATCTCTAATTAAACAACCAACAAAGTCAACATCTCTAACTGAACAACCAACAAAGTCAACATCTCTAATTAAACAACCAACAAAGTCAACATCTCTAATTAAAAACCAACAAAGTCAACATTTCTAATTAAACAACCAACAAAGTCAACATCTTTAATTAAACAACCAACAAAGTCAACATCTCTAATTGAACAACCAACAAAGTCAACATCTCTAATTAAACAACCAACAAAGTCAACATCTCTAATTAAACAACGAACAAAGTCAACATCTCTAATTAAACAACCAACAAAGTAGCGTCTCTAATTAAACAACCAACAAAGTCAACATCTCTAATTAAAAACCAACAAAGTCAACATTTCTTATTAAACAACCAACAAAGTAGCGTCTCTAATTAAACAACCAACAAAGTCAACATCTCTAATTAAAAACCAACAAAGTCAACATTTCTAATTAAACAAACAAAGTCAACATCTTTAATTAAACAACCAACAAAGTCAAAATCTCTAATTAAACAATTGACAAGGCTAACAATAAGCTTTCTTGGCTTCAGAAACTCTTATTCTTCTGCCTTTTTAATCCCCAATGGAGCATAGACCCTTAATCAACTCACATCAGGTGGTCCTATCCTTCCCTATCACATTCAGCTTACCCATGTCCTCCCCATCTTTTTAACTTCACTCTCTAGCTGCCTTCTACATGTGTTTTTCGGTCTTCCTTTATTTCTATTCCCTGTTGGTTCCAGTGCAAAGACTTTCTAGTTATATTGTTCTTAGGTTTTCTCAATGGTATCCTATCCAATGCCAGCATCGTTTCTTCACCTCTTGGTCCACTGTAACTTGTTTAGTTATCTCCCAAAGCCTTTATTTACATTTGTGATTTAATCATACCCTTTGATTCCCTCTATTCTGCGAAGGCACCAGTTAATGAATGTTTGTAGTTCATAAATAATTGCTTTAGCTGTACTCCATGTTTCCGCTCCATACAATAGTACTGATTTGACATTAGAATTAATTTTTAGTTTAGAATTAGTTTTAATTCCTTTTGATCAACACAAATTCCCTAGAGCTATGAAAGCTTCTCTTGCATTTTGTATTCATGTTTTAATAAGTATCTTAGTTCCCCTATCTTCACCTACACTACTACCCAAAAAGTTGTATGACTCCACGTCTTGGAGTGGGGTACCATTAAGAGAAACCACAGTACTATTTGCCTGATTTATTCTCAATATCTTTGTCTTTTCAGCAACTGTGATAAACTGAAATCCATAAGCATCAACACATGAAGTAACAAAAACAAGAACATCTGATACCTTGACATCATTGACTGGCCAGTTGCACAGAATATCGTAGACATGGCCCAGGTCATGGATTGTGATGTACAGGCCCCTGGGGAAAAAGAGCTCAGTTGAGTTGAGTTAAGAATTGATATCACACCACTTGGGGCATTCCCATATGCACTCCGTCCCCATCCTCAAGCAGCCAGCGCAGAGTTCCAATACTAATGGTGCCAGTCATAGTCTGGTTGTATGTCCGTTTTGCCTTTCCTCTGAGTGTAGTGTGCCGGCTGAACCCTGTGGTCCCACCCAAAGAAGAAGAAGAGCAAACAGAACAGTCACGTAACGAGTCTACCTGCTTTTTGTTTTCTTCCATCTCATCTCCTCTTCCTTCTTCTGTCTTAGTCTTAGACAAGTGTTTTAACTTCAATGCAATCAGGTCACCCTATACTTGTTCCGTTCCTCTCCAGGTGACAATCGAATGAAATGTCCCTCACTGCGCCATTTGAAAAACTGGTGAACAAACAATTAGTGCCAGCACAATCCAGGAATATGCATGCAGTAAATGCATATGGCAGTTGCCAGAGGTTGCCATAGCTAACAGTTGTCACCAGAAATGCAGTTTGTCATCCTCTTTCCTTTCCTTCTACTCGTCTTCACCCTTTTTTTCATCTTACTACTCCTCCTCTTCTTCTTGTGTATCCCCCTAAAGAGTGAATATACTCAACAACTTACAATCCCTGATTTTTCTCCCACATTTTCCCCAGATCTATGTTTTATATGATGTCTTGGGTTCAAATTCTGAAATCTGGGTTTTAAAAAAAATATCTTAAATGTGGATAAATGTTTCGTTTTTTAATTATAAAATTTTTACTTTTTAACAATCTGATTTTTTTTTTTTTTAAATATAATTTTGTTCTTTGTCCATCTATTGCTGGTTTTTTTTTTTTTTTTTTTTTTAGCTCAGCTGGGTTTTTCAAAAAATCCCAATGACAGTCCTGGTCGGGACAGGGCAGGGTGTACGAGCTACCATATTGGCTGCTTGCCGTTTCAGGTTTCAACAAGCACAACGCAGCAGGTATGACAGGAATATATTAAAATAATCAACATTCACAGACGTGTCACAAAACTGGTAAAGCAACAGATAAATATAGCCAAAAACTGTCTCAGTCAAAAATAGATTTTACCATTATTTGATTTATTTTGTATGTGTCACTTTAGAGTAGAGCTGATGCTACGTTCAATGAGACGGAATGTGAATAACCCAAGGCTGGGGTACGCATGACTGCCTTTTTGTGAAAATAAACTTTTTCGTTCGCCTGAAATAAATTGTAAATTTCAGCTATTTTGTCTCGCATAAATTTCACTGTAGTTTTTAGTTCATTCAGTCGTACGTAGAATGTACTTTTCCACCTGTCTTTCCAACTGTTGTTCTTTCAAGCTACAAGGTTTGTCTCAATGTGTTTGTTATATGCGGTGCAGTCTTACGGATTCTGCTGTCTGGGGCGACAAGCCTCATGCGCACATGACACAACTTATAATCAGTGTTATGTCGCTTTGGTAACCATGCCTGTTCGTCGGCTTGAGTCTCATGTACTGTCCATTATTTCTGACATAGAAGTGTCATGAAGCCATGCCAGAATGTTCTAAATCTCTTTTGTTCTCCCACAATCGCACTTCCATTGTGTCGTTACTGCTGTCACGAGGTACTGTAGTTTTCCATTCCTCAAGACACGCCTGTGGTTTTCCACTCCTCAAGATATGCTGTAGTTTTCTACTCCTCAGACATTCTGTAGGTTTCCACTCTTCAAACATTCTGTAGTTTTCCACTCTTCAAACATTCTGTAGTTTTTCACTCCTCAAGACATGCTGTAGTTTTCCACTCCTCAAACATTCTGTAGTTTTCCACTCCTCAAACATTCTGCAGTTTTCCACTCCTCAAACATTCTGTAGTTTTCCACTCCTCAAACATTCTGTAGTTTTCCACTCCTCAAACATTCAGTAGTTTTCCACTCCTCAAACATTCTGTAGTTTTCCACTCCTCAAACATTCGGTAGTTTTCCACTCCTCAAGCATTATGACAAAAGAAAAATATTTACTCATTATATAATTCGCCTGTTTGCTACATGGTTGAAAATTTCCTGAAGGTATTGCGCTGTTTTAGATCAAGAAAGCCGCAGTATCTGCATATCTTTTGTCGTGGCCCGACTCTCTAGCGTAGTTGGCTAAACCAGATTGCGCGGAGACGGGTGACGAACTCCTTGTGGTGGTCCGGGCCACATTTTTCTCCCAGATTTTTACGGTATTTACATGGAATACGGCCGAAAGGTTGCGATATCCATAATACCGAGCCTAAGGTTTAAAAACTCATGGCTTCTGGATACTAAAACAAACAAACAATCTTTTGTCGTGCATTGATTTTCCACCAATGGTTATCATACCTGGTCTCCTCACTATCCGAGTAAAAGGACCCTTTTCCCACGTCAGCAGGCGTATTTGGGCATACAGGGCTAGACCTATAGTTTATAGATCAATCGGTACTCAGTGGGTGATATGGTCTACATCACGCCGGCCGCCTCTACTTCCCATGACTTAACGTGATACCCATTTCAGACTGTGTCGACCTGGTAGCTGTAATGGGGGATATTTTCACCCTGATTGGGAAGGTTGGTGCGGGGGAGGGGGGGGGGAGGCCCAAGCTAACAGTAATACCGAGAGAAGCCAGATACTCGGATTAACCGAGGTTTTCAAGATAATTAGCCTTATATAACACCTGCAGCAATGTGCGTACATAATTTACTAGTAGTAAAATGCTATTTAATAGTAGTATTATACGACTCTTTAAAAACATTTCTCTGCAAAAAGAACTTATTTTTACATGTTACATGATCGACGTCTGTAGCTTGGCTGGTTACGAAATCGGATGGTAATTCCAAAATAGCCGGTTAGATTCAGCTGCCGATGATTTGGCAGCTGGCCGCTTTACGTTGACATCGACAATGTTCAGCAGCGTCAACCATTCAGTAAGCAAGGTGGACCTGTTCACGTTTCCCGGCCCATTTATACACTTTCTCTGTCTGATCTAAGAAGGGTGTCACGTTGTACTGCTTTCTTCGAAGAGATTCTCTCATCTAACCTAGGCTCAGGGCAGTTTGGGTTAGTGCCAGTTCTACATGTCCTGAGGTCGTTAAAATCGGTGTCGTCGTGTAGTATAAAACACGCGATATCGGCACTGGTTGGCAAGACAACGTGACACCCCTCCACGCAGAAGATTCTAAGAAAGTATGAATGCAATGTCAGCCAGTATGTAGATGGGCCAGTAAACGTGAAATGGACCACAAGGGTAACTAATGGCCGCAAATTTCATTGTTAGACCACAAAGAGCCAACAAATGCTGAGGTTCGGTAAAGACACGTCCATCTTTAGACTATAAAGTATATTCCAGTTTTTTTTTTTTTTTTTTTTCTACACGTTATTGATGTTTATGTTATGTTGACTGTAGCAAAAACATTTTTCTTTTCTGTAAGAGCCTTTATTTATATATTTTAATAGCACACTTATTTACCTTCAAAATGACACAAAATTCGATAAAACGGGAATCCCCGTTGGGCTTTAAGGACTATTTATAGCTACAGAAGGGCGTGGGTAAAGATATCCTGTACAGGATATGCAAGTAAGACGGTCACGTTTTGTTATCTTATGTTATCATGATATACGTCACGGTACACTGAGAATTCGCATGTGTGCTCCAGCCGTAAATATATACCAAGTAAACTTTCTGGAAGGTAAAGGCGACCTGTGTGATATTGCCAACACCCCTCCACCGAGTGCACACTGATGTATAAAATATAGGCCTCGTCCTTTATGCTCAATACGCCTGAAGGGCGCTAAAAATGGGCCGCTACTTTACTTTATTTAAACGGAAGTGAATCATGGACAGTTGGTCGATTAGTGACACACTATGTGGCAATTTTGGAAAATGTGGTTTTATAGACGAATGATGAGAATACCCAAAACAGATGAAAAGAGTAACGAAGAGTTCTTGAAAGAAACTGACTCACGAAGAGAACGGATTGCACACGTCAGCAGGAGGCAATCTACTTCTTTCGTAATGCCACGAGAAGGAGAGAACTGGATTGCATTGTGACGGTGGTAAAGTTGGAAAGGAAAAGAGGCAAAAGGAGTCCGAGAGAGAAAATGATATACAGTTTCGCATCATGGCATGGAGGATCATTTGTGTTCGAACTGACCGAAAGTAAACGAGACAAAAGGTTGAATGAATGAATGGATCAAGAGTTTTGAGATCCCTGCACTCGGGACATTCCCACATGTGCTCCGCCCTCTTCTTCAGAAGCCAACGAGTCTCATGTTAATACTTCATGACAATCAACGCACACGACATGCACTATAAGAAGATTATTTAATCTGCAAGCGCAAAGACCACCAGCGTTTTTGAGTAAACAAACATTAATTCAACTCTGGGACTCGTTATTCGTGAGCATAGAATAAATGCTGTTAAACACTTGACTGTTTCAACAGGTGAAGCCAGAGTGTCAATACTAATGATCGCATCACCTGTTTTAATGCTAGATGCATTAAGGTTCAGTGACGGGCGTTAATGGCAGGCAGCTGCAATTACACGGCTCTTCAACTCGAGCTTGTCCGTATACATAATGGTTGTGGAAATGTAGACAATAGGTGGTTTTACAGACAGACGTACTGATGCACATACAAAAATAAACACAGTGAACTAGCGGATGAAAAGGCAAACATACTGGCAGATAAACAGGATGATTAGTTTATCGATTAAGACAATCAACAAGATAGCCTTAAGAATATAAAGCATTTCACGCATTGATAGTAACAGCCAATGTCAATGAGCACGCTGAAGAAGATATAAACTAGCAAACTGCGTCTACAATCGGCTGACAGCAAGCACCCAGAAGCACGCCTCAACAACAACAAAAAAAAACACCAACTTGGCTGTATACACCAGGATACGCCGAGGTGACAGGAAATAAAAGAGCCGACAGAACGGCCGTCAACACTGGGGAAAGAAGTACAGACAGGACAAGCAAATGCCTTCTTCACTGGAAATATGCCTCAAAGAAA